AAAAAAAAAAAAAAAAAAAAAAAAAAAAAAAAAAAAAAAAAAAAAAAAAAAAAAAAATTCAGTAATTGATAAAATCATGCTGGTGACGGGCTGTGCAACATAAAAATGCATAAAGTTTCATATTTGTAATAACGCTGATCGGAATATGCAAAATCCCGTTCCGGGATGTGAATCATTGTAATAATAGAAGGGCTGCTGTGCAGTTTTACAAATCTAAAATTAATATTACCTTTAAATAAATGATAAGCATCAATCATCACTATTAAAAAAAATATTTTTAACAATATTTGGACATTTGGGCGGGCATTGAATTCCTTATCAAATTCTAAATACACAAACAAGTTTTAATTAATTAAATCAAATTTTTTTATCGTTATAACTTGTAACAAAAATCTACTAATAATTTAAAAATTTTAATTACCTTAAACGACTTCGTCTTATTAAACATTTTGAGAATTTTTTCTTAAAATCGCATGTTGTTTCACTGTATATTTCGAAAGGGCGTTATAATATATATTGACGATGCAAATAAGAATCTTAAAAGTAAAATGACCAAATTGAATTACTATATCAATTTAAGTTCTGAAAATGAAAAAATAACGTTACGTTCTGCTCAAAGCATTGATAAGTATTGTACTATATAATACAGTCTTAATTTTCTTAATACACATACATAAGAGTGAATAAAATCAAATAGAAGGACTTGGAGTTTTCGACACGAATTTCTAAAAACAATACGTGGATTCTTTTTAATGAGCGCTCAGTCTCGCATCAAAAATGATCATCATAATAATTCTTCAAGTATGAAAGAGGAATATCTTCTTATTTTATTTTGGATTTTTTTTTTTGCATTTAAAAAAAAAGTTTTTAATGTACAAAAGAGATGGTTAAATAATAATTATATTATAAGCGATAAGTGATGCATTTGTAATATATTTTTTACAAACTCCGTTGGCGTTCGAACAGTGTAACGTGTGTGACATTAAAAAGTATTTTCCGTCTTTATTTATCAAGTTTCGGTAATATAAAAAATTTTTCTTTGTTTTAATTGTTTAATTGATTTCTTTTCAATTTCTTTATTCGTTTTTAATAAAAAGAATTACATTATTTTTTTTTTTTTCATACACAATTTTTATAAAAAAATTTCGATGACATGATTAACGATAAAAAAAATTATTTATAAGATGACGAATATCTCGAATTAATTATTACATAGTAATAGTTCCCGCGATTTTTTTCTTTTTTTTTTAAAAAAAAAAATTTGGAGTTTCAAATTTTGAAAATTTGACGAGGAGCCCCTGAATACTCTCTATCAAGAATCTTTGTCGCACAACTCTTTTATTTTGGTAAATTTTGGGCGACATCAAACAGAATGGTTTGTATTAAAATAGTAAGTAGTGTTACACGTTTGCATTGGTGTAATGTAGAACGTTTATACAATTTCCTTTTTTTAGGTATCACGTGTTAGCGGTGTTACAACTTTTATTTGTCGTACGTTTTATATACATTCATTTTAATGAGATAAAATCTCAGCTGAATAAAATTAGCAATGAAAAATTATCAAATTAAATTAATTAANAAATTTTATTAATCCTTGACTTGAAATGACAAATGATTTTACGTTTTCAATACTACTAATATCATATACATACAGAATTAGATGGAATGTTTTTTTTTTTTTTTTTTTTTTTATAAATTTGATAAAATTTATTAATTTTAAATTTTAATAATTTTAATAAAATTTAAAATTATACAAATTTTTTAAAAAATTAATCTTAACTACAAAAATGGTATCTTACAATAGATAAGGGTACGCCGAAATGTCCTAAAAGAAAGAAACAATCTCTTATCATCGTCGAAAATATTATCCTTATAATAGAACATACGGTATCTTATCTTCCTTGATAATGATAAAAAATACCTTATCTTCGTTAAAATGCCATTCTTATAATAGAAAAATCCCTTAAATTTTGTTAAAAAAATAAATATCATTCTTAAAATAAAACAAATAGCATTTGCCAAGATTCCGTAAATAAAAATGAGCTTAATACTAAAATGTTTCGTGCCCAAATAAAAGCCATTCATTCCCAAAATAAAAAATTGAAATGCAGCTCTTATCATTCTCACGGGTTCTTAGTATATTTCAAAAACTTTACCAGTTAAATCTTAGAAATGATTAACATTATGCATTAGTTTGAAAGATTTTGATCTACGCAAATATGTCAAGCTCTTATCAAAAATAAAATAGTTGAAAAATGAGAATAATTATTTAAAAGAATCGTCATACATATCTTAAAAAAAAATTATTTTTGAATTGTACGACAAATAATTTTATATATATACATTTATTTATTTAACTTAAAATGTCGTACATTTCTCATTATATGATGACCCCTAGTAGTGAAACATCGCACCGGAACATTGCTGTGATGATCCATAATTATTACGGTTAACAAATACCAAAATTTGATTTTATTCAAATTCCTGATATCGATTGGATATTTTAAATCATTACGAAATACATTATTTATTCTCAACCTTGGCTGATTATAGTTAATTATTTAGAATTAGCTTTTATTCAATATATCCTAAACTTTCTCTAAAAAGGCATGTCATTATTGAATAAAATTGATTGTTGAATTATACAATCATTTTTTTAAACTTTCTCCAAAAAGGAATGTCATTATTGAATAGGAATTGCACACAGATCTGTCGTGACAATCATTAATAATACGCTACTAACGCATTTTATTTTTCATTTCCATAAAATTTGTTAAAAAAAAAAATTTTTGACCGTGTCAAATATAAAATATATACTATTCTTTTTAATTATTCTTTTTAAAAAAAATTTATTATGGATTTTCACAAAATAATTTTAATAAGAATAAATGTTAAAAATTTTTAATATTCATCGATATTTGCTAAAATATATACATTTTTTTTTTTGGACATATTAATGTTTGAAAATATGTATTAAACATAAAAAAAACGACAATTTCCTTGAAACTTTGAAATATTGAAATTATGTTTTTAAATAACGATTTGAATTAGAAGAATCGTATTTGAATTTTTTTTCTCTCGTTCCTTAATATGATCATAACATTCATAAATTTTATTTTATGATATATTCAATTCGTTATTATAAACTACTACTATAAACGAAATTATGTTTATATTGATATTTTTATATATATATTTTTTTTTACGAATAAATAAAATTTAGAGAAAAATAATATCGACATTCTCCGATCCGGTTACACTAATAATCATGATTCATGGTAGCGGATATTATAAATTCGTGTCACTTTTTAAAGTATAATTTTTTTTTTGTTTTAAACGTTCTTCTTTCAAATTTTAATGCATATTTTTTTTACTTCTTAATCAAAAATGGTGCCACTCATTTTAAAGACGTACTTTTTATAATATTAGAAGAATTTAAAGGGGATAGGAATTCCCTTCATTCATGTCTTCTAGTTAATAAGACTTGGTGTGAAATTATCGTTCCAATTTTATGGAAAAATCCTTGGAAATATTTAGAAGAAGATAAGAAAGAGAAATCACAACTTAATGTAATAATTTCACATTTATCAAATGAGATAAAAGAAGATTTAATAAATAAAGGAATAAATATGTTGACAGGAATTAAACGAAAGCCTTTATTTAATTATATCAGTTTTTTGTAATTATTTAGATTTGTATAAATTAGAAAAGATAATTTATACAATAAATTATATTGAGGAATCAAAATTAAATATCATAAGAAATGAAATATTTAAATTGTTTATTAATAATAATATGAAATTCACTAATCTTTATATACCAGGACGATATACCTGGAGTTGAATATTGTCTTTCGGAACTTGAATATCTTAAATGTCATAATAATTCCGATCAAAATATATTTGAAGAATAAATAATTCAATTAAAAAATTGGAAATTAATATTGAACATTATAATAATATTGGAATAATTAATTAATTGAATCTCAAAAAAAATCTAAATGACGTTCATTTGATTTATATTATAAATGATGAATCATTTAATAATACAATTGAAGAATCTTTAATTAAACATGTAGATACTATTAAACATTTAAAAATAGGTAGAAAACGTAATACGATTATCTCGTAAATTTAGTAAGTTTGGAAATTAATCCAAGTATTGGAGTAATTTAGAAAATATTTCTTTTACCATTTTTAAAGATTCTTAAAACTCGATGGGTTCCATTTAATATTTTAGCGAATTTAATTGAAAATACAAAAGGTTACCTTATTGAAATTAGCCTTTATGATAAATATTATGAAGGTAATAATAAAAGATTAATTCAATCAATTTATCAAAAATGTATAAATCTTAAATATCTTAAATTTTCAATCAAGAATAATGATATTTTAGAATTTAATAAATTATTAATTATATGTCAAAAATTTAATTGGATTATTTATACATAATGCTTCTATAGAAGAATTAAATTGGGGTAAATTATTTGAAATTTTAACAGATTCATCACCTAATAGTTTATATTGAATTTTAATTATTATGTAATTAAATTAGAAACTTTAAATTATATATTCTTTGATAATTGGAAAGGTAGAAATCCTATGTTATTAGAACTTTCCATTAGATGGGTATAAAATTTAATTGAAAAATATAAATTAAATAATTAAATTTTATGATAAGGATTTATATGGATATTCTTTTAATGGATTCAAAAAGAAAATGATTAATCAACCTCTATCTGGAACGGCGCTGCCAAATTGTATAGTTCTTTTTATTTTTATCTAGTGCTATCTTTATTATTTTTTATTTATTATAAGTATTTGTTGTTTTTTTTTATTACATTTATTATCATTAAAAAACGCCTAGGTTTGTATAACTATTAAAAATCCATTTTTGTTTTTTTTTTCTATTTATAGAAAACATTCCTATTTGATATTTTATTCATGCAATTTATATTACATACTTTCGTCAAAACACATTCTACATATTGCTGTAACACCTACATATTTAAGATCAACCGTACACTACATGCTTCAATAATTCAATTGTTTCATGTATACATGTATACAACTTCCGTTTTTTCGTGTCCAAATAGGTCAGAATGACAAAAGTTGTGTCACTTACTAAAACATACATGAATTAATATTATCCTAAGTTATATATTATTACGTGTTTTTTATTAATTCTCATTGACTAGAAATGGCGAGAGGTTTCGATTTTCATCTAGTTTTGGCTGTACAATTTTACTGCGACCAACCAAGTTACTTTGTAATTTCAAATTATAGTTAGTCACAAGAAGATATTCTGTTTAAAATGTCAGTCTGATGCAATTTTATTCAGAATTTCATAAGAAAAATTACAATTTTTCAGTCTTGTCAATATGACAAAGAATAGATTCGATGATTAATTTTTTGAATCATGTTTCACGTTGATATTTCAATGTGTCAGTCCAAGTTATACTATCTACAACAAAATTTTTTTTATTTAAGACCCCTCTCAATACATGTTAAACTTTATTTTTTTTTGAAACAAACAAATTTATTTTTCCACGCATTAAACTGAACAATTTATTTTGGGAAATCGACTTATTTATCCCGTGAAACGAAGAGATTCTCGAAAAAATGAGTTAACACTAAACGATTTATTTCTGGAGATCAATCTTATGAAGCAAAGAGATTCTTGAAATTCTTTCCTGCTGAGTCCACCGGTAACAAAGAAAATAACACCTCCTGAAGACTTAATAATACTTTAAACCTTATATTTTCAATATTATAAAATCTAATTAAAGGAATGGATTTCCATAATATTCTTTCAATCTTTGTAATATCATCTTTATTCCATTTGGTGAGATAAAATACAGTGAAAATCAATTAGATCTCAGCTAAATCATTTATCAAACACCTTTTAACTGGAATAATAATCAATAATAGTTATTATATTCATCTAATATTTAATCTATAGTTATCTTTATGACCAATATATGTAATCTTTTTAGAAAAAATTCTTCAATTTCTTTTTCAAGGATCTATTTTACCTCACTTTACACAAAGCTAAAAATATTTTAAACCTTATTATATTTATAGTCAGCTGTTACTATATCAGCAAATCTCCAAAAAAAATAATGAAAACCAATTACTAAGATAATAAATCCTTTAAACTTACTAGAATTTGATTTGGTTATTTTAACACATTCATCAAATACTTCCGAGCTAAAATAATTAATAGCTCTTCCCTTTGAAATTGTATTCATATATGGACTTAATTGATCAATTCTATTATTTAATATTTCACCTATAGTTGTTAGATTTATTTTTTTATCCTCTTCAACATCATTACAGTATACGTTTTCCGCATCACTGTCAGAATTAGCAATTATTGGTTCAGAATAGTATCTTATTTCATCCTCTATGATCTGAGAAGCAAATGACATGAAATCTTTCTGGAAGTTTCCATCGATTATATAACTTCTTATGTGATCCAAAATAGATAATGTTATATACTTTGTTTTGTACAAATCTGATGTACAATTCATAAAAAACATCACTTTTTAGATACTCCTATTTTTGACTAATATGAATATGGTCATTATAGAATCTACATTTAGATTTACCAGTTCATTTGAACCTAAATTATTTTTCTGATTTATATTAAGATCAACTAAAGAAATATATTTTAATTCAAAAATACAGAATTATCTGAACCTTTTGGCTTTTTGCCATTCATTACTAATAATGAGAGTTCTGGAATGCAATATGCTGAAGTAACATAAAAAGTACTATTAACAACTTGTTCATATATTTCACAAAATATAATAGCAAGGACATCCTAAATTAATTTAATCAATGGTTTTTATAACTCTAAAATTACCAATGGAAGTCTGGAATATGATATTTTAATAGTTTTCAACAATTGTTTGAAGAATAGAAAAAAATGAGTAACACTGAACGATTTATTTTTGGAGATTAATCTTGTGAAACAAAGAGATTCTTGAAATTCTTTGAAATTAATTCCTCCTTAATTGATCGATCTCCTAACAAAGAAAACAACACCTATATTTCTCATTAAAAATTTTTCATTTATTAAACACATTTTATATTTTGAAACTATGGATTTACTTAACCAAAGATCTTTCAATCACAAGCACTTTCTTTCTATAAATGGTTGTTACCTGAAGAACTTAAAAATACTTTAAACCTTATTTATATGTTCAATATTATAAAATCTAATTAAAGAGACGGATTTCCGTGATATTCTTTCAATCTTTCTAATATCATCTTTACTCCATATGGTGGGATAATAAAACATAATGAAAACCAATTAGATTTGATTTAGTTATTTTAATCCATTTATCAACTTTAACTGGAATAATAATCAATAATAGTTTTCCTTTTGAAATTATTATATTCATATATGTTCTCAATCCGTTATTTAATATTTAATTTATAGCTGTCTTTATGACTAATATATATAATCTTTTTAGCAAAATTCTTCATTTTCTTTTTCAAGGATCTATTTTACCTCACTTTACGCTAAGTTACCAAAAATATTTTAACCTTATTATATTTATGGTCAGTCAGTTGCTACTTTATCAGCAAATCTCCAAAAAATATTAATTACTAATAAGATAACAAATCCTTTTAACTTATTAGAATTTGATTTGGCTATTTTAACATGTTCATCAAATATTTGAGATACTTGAAAAGGAAAATATAGAATCTGTAAAGACCATACTCATATAAAAATAGCAGTTTCAAAGAAGTGTTATTTTTTATATGAATTGTACATCAGATTTGTTTCACAAAACAAAGGTTTTTTCTTCACATAAGAAGTTATATAATCAAATAACCTTCAAGAAAGATTTCATGTCCATGCTGAACCAATAATTGCTAATTCCAACAATGATAGAAAGCATAGATTTTGATGACGATGAAGAGGATAAAAAAACAAATCTAAAAATGAACTATAGGTGAAATACTAAATAATGGAAATTGATTAACTAAGTTCGTGTATAAATACAACATCAAAGGGAAGAGCCATTAACTATTTTAGCTCAGAAGTATCTTGTCTAGATTTTCCAGTCCACTTTTTTTCTGATTTATATTAAAATCAAATAAAGAAATATATTTTAATTCTAAGCTAATATTATTATTATTTTCTGTATTACTTAGAATAAAAATATCTGAATAATCTGAACCTTTTGGCTTTTGCCATTAATTACTGATGAGAGTTCCAGAATACAATATGCTACTATTAACAACCTGTTCATATATTTTACAAAATATAATAGCAATGACAAAATCCTTTTAATTTAACACCCTGAATTAAAATAATGAATTAAAATAATCAATAGTTTTAATTAATTAGTACCAATGGAAGTCTGGATATGATATTCAACAATTATTGTTTGAAGAATAGGCTTATTCACTAAAGATACTGTGAACTTGTTAGTGGAAATATTTTAGAATTTCGATGAAGAGTATAATATTACATTATTTAGTATTTCATTTGTATGTACTTATTTAGCTTATCACATTGCAATATTTAGCATTAATTAAAGAAAATATTCTAAGGGTTGAAAAGCGAAATTTTGACTATTTTGAAAATGTTTAATAGATGTCATAGGCAATATTGATTGCAAAAAAAATGATTAAATAATAATATTTATAGTAATAATAATAATAATATGATTTAATAAAAATAAAAAATGATAATTTAGGGTAAATTTTATTTTTTCACTATATTTGGTTTTATAAATACTTTATGTGATAGATAATCTAAATAATTCATACAAGATTTATAAATTTTTTTTTTGTAATGGCAAAAAAATATAGAAGCTATGATAAAATGAATAACATGAACTTGATGTCTGAAATTTTATTTGCATATTTTTGCAGTATCAAGTGTAAACTTTGTGTACAGCTAGCTCATAGTAAAAAAAATTTTCACCACCTAATCCCTATATTTATATTTCTGGGTCCTACTGGGCAATGATTTATAATGTGGTTTAATATTCAAAAAAATCTACTTCTGTTACCTCACTGTATCAATGAGAATATAAAAAAAACAATATTTTTTTTAATGTGAAATATATATAAAACTATAGGATAAAATATTTTTAAACATTCAATTTCATCGTTTCTTAAACAAAAACATTAAAAATTCATGTAAAAAGATGATTCAAATAATTTTTATATAAAAAAACAAAAAAAGTAGTAAAATACAGAAAAAAAAAATAATTTTCAATATAAAATATGTCTTTGGAAGGATATTTTTAGGTATTGAATTGATGATACACTAAAAAATAGAAATTCTGAGATTAAAATATTAAAAAGGTGATTCACATCATGAAAATTACAAGACAACCTCGCAAATCGGATTTTATCAATATTTTCGAAAACGGCAATGAGGCTTCTGGCGCAATATATGGTTCTGCAGTCGTCCGTTGAGTGATTTTTCATCTTACATATGTCACACTGTATTTCTTCTCGTGATCTATTTCTTGATCTTGATCTTTCATCAAAGCGTCT